TTAGAAAAAAAAAATTGGTTTGGTCCAATACCCAACCGAAAGCTGTACAGTGTAATGATTCCAGTATCTTCATTTATTTATATTGTAACTATCAATATCTTATAAAGAGAAGTGTAAAATTTTTTATCTAAAACTAATGAAGTCAGAAGGACGAAATTCGAGGATGTGGTAGTTTACATATTAGTCCTTGACATATATTTTTTTCAAAAATAAATATTGAAAATTTCCAAGGATATTCAAGGATAAAATTTTAAAAGGACATTTTCAACACTTATTCGTCCTGGTGCACCAAACAATAAATTTTTTTTTTAATTTTACAGAATTTTTCCTTTTAATGGATACCCATATTGTTACTCTACAATGCACCAAATCTTTTAAATATTTTTTTTTTATTCAATCATATCCTAGAAATTTCAAAGTCCTTTAAAAAAAATCCTAACGTCAGAGAGAAAAATTAAAAACGCAGTTATACTATATTTGGCAGGGTTGGGCACGCTGCACTTAATCGAGATTTTCACTACAACTAGGGCTTCAGTGGTAGTGAAATTTGAAATGCTCTACCACTATATGGTTAGTGGTAGTGCATTTCATTTTCACTACCACTATATGGTTAGTGGTAGTGCATTTAAAATTTCACTAGCACTACATAGTGAGTGGTAAGGGAACGAAAGTTTCACTATTACTGACTAATTACATTAGTTTACAAAATTTAGGAATTTGCGATCTGTGCAAATTTCTTAGTTAGTAATTTTATTAATCCTTACTTCCTTACTAATATTATAAATCCGAAAGTGAGTTTGTTGGTTTATTACGCTTTCACGCTTTAACTACTCAACCGATCATCATGCAATTTTGTACTTTGGTGTCATTTAGCCCAACTTAAAATATAGGATAGATTTAATCTCGATTGTAAAAGGGGGCGTGGCACCTTCCATACAAACGGAATTTTTCATACCGTATATCGCAGGAAATATTTGTTATAGATATATTAGGAAATGGATTTTAAGACGCTTAAAAAAGTTGTAGTTTGCAAATAAATTGGAATATGTATCATAGTATGGGTGTCAGACCAAATGGGTTTAATAAGGTTTTGGTTGGAAAATGTTTTGGAGAGGGTTGTCACCTGTTTTAAAAGTAGAATTTTAACTAATTATACTAAAATTTAAGTGTCAAACGTAAGAGTGTTTAGAAACTTGTAGAATCTTCTGAGGTATTTGAAGAGGGTTGCCATCTATTTAAAACTAAATTCAATTACAATTATATTATAAGCTAAATGAGCTATTACAATATAGGTATTAGCCGAAAGTCTTGAAAATGATTTATTTCTACATAAGCTACATAAGTATAGCAGTGTGTCGACTTATTTGAAAATTCAAGTTCAACTTGGATACTTGGTACTTTGAATGCATTTGATTGTATCACAATGTGAGTGGTTTTGAAAGGACTTCATATCTAAACTACAAGTAAGGGGGTTGTCCCCTTTTTAATCTATATATATTTGAGTACGGGGTATAAGTTAATTGAAAAAGAATCACAAGATCACAAGTTTAGTTTGAAAATATTTGGAATATGGGTAAACAAATTTGAAATCTCCTGTTTTTGGCATGGGTTATGTATGTTTATTGAAATTAATTAAACCTAATGTAGCACTCAGAAATTCCATGCACTGCACCACATAAGGAAAAGAAAAGCGTATTCTAGTTTTAAACAATCGTTTATATAAATCTGGTAGTCAGGGGAAAATTTTTGCATTTTGGCATTTAATGCCACAACTCTTACCACTACAAACTACAAATTTGTATTCATTTGCTGTTTGTTCGTTGCTTCTGCCACATTGCATTTTTTGTTTCGTTTTTATTTTGCACTTCGCTTCGCATGGATTTATGTTCATACATTCACAGTTTTGCTTTTATCGATTTGCAGTTATTGTTGTTTGCGATTTTATTTTATTATCATAATAAAAAATCTAGAAAAGCAAAGCTTCCTATGCATTGTAAGTCTATGCAGCTAGATATATGCACATACATATGTAAGTATGCACATTCGCATAGACGCGTGCACAATAAATCACAAACCATTTGCTTGGTTGTTTGTTGGTTTTGAAAGTGAGCGAGCGAGTGGTTTTTTCGCCGCCAAATGCCGACACCTGATATGACACAATTTTGACAAATACGCGGATTTCCATGTGGCAGGGCACCAAACAGAAATATGTGTGCATATGTATGCACATTAGGGCGGGTCAGTTTGTATAAGAGATTTTATCGACTATGCGCGTATAGCACATAAGGATTCAACGTGTAATTCTAAGAAAATTCTCCGAAGAAACCATGGGTATAAAACCAATTTGGAGTTTGCCAAATTGCGAAAATAGGTTTCTTGGCATTTTGCTTTAGTGTCGTAAAGAAAGGGTTAAATTTTGTTAAAAAAAAAACAAGCTATTAGGGTTTTTTTTGGTATAAGAAATCCATTTCTGGACTCATATTTTTCCTTAAACGTTCACCAGAGGGCAGAAAAGTGAAAATTTTCACATTTTCTTTCAAACCTATTTTCGCAATTTGGCAAACTCCAAATTGATTTTAGAGCCATGGCCTCTTCGGCAAATTTGCCCTAATGTACATATATAAAAAACAACAACTACAACGAAAGCAAGAGAAACAGTAACTTCGAACTTGGTGCGCATATTCGCCTGTGTTCATAGATAAGAGCGGTATGCCTTTGAAAAAATAAAAATACAACTTTTTTTTTAAATACCCCACTCTGTGTACTTTCCGTTGAAAACATTTTCATGCAATTTGCAATAAATCAATGCACTGTGCAACGAAAATATGTTTAATCCGCGTAGTTTAGCTCGTCATCAGTACAATAAAAGTAATTGTTGGTGTTGGTATAACTGATGACTTGTTGATACCCCTCCATTCTGGGTCCGAATTCATTGTGGAGCCAAGTTAGAGTGCGATTGGAGAGATTAATCTTTTGTGTGCAGTATAACTGGGGCGCTAACCCAGATGGTTGAAATATGTGATTCAATTGCTAAATATTGAAAGCCTAAAGGATGCGACATATCTCTTGCATTTAGGTTATGGCAGCGCCGTGTGTCAGGGACTCATTTTGACATTTAGTAGATTGTCCTTTGTGATAGCACATTCTGAACGGCACCCAATACTTAATCTATAAGACGCCTCGAGTCGATTATGTAATTACGAATTCGGCCAAGGAGCACAATGTGCTAGAGCTCCTCGGGACTTTTAAGGATGTGAGAGTCAAATTACTTTAACCTAAGATAGCCTAGCGACCGCTGACGTTGCATATTTTTAGGCACAGCTTTGAACAAAGTGCAGGGATAATGCAGATAATGGTAGCCGGTTGTAGCCAATCACAATAGAAACACAAAACAAGGAGAAAATGGGAAAAACACCAACAAGTAAGTAAGTAATGCAATACTAGTGGAGCACCCACTCTTGCTCAGCCCCCTACCCCCTCCCTCCCCCTCTTCCTCCTCATTTCCACCATGCACGCCATGAGCGTCTCATTCTTATTTCGCCTTGCTTTGCTATCCCATTTGCAGTTGGTGCAGCAAAAGTAACAATAACAATGACGCCGTTAGTACTTTTCCTAGTGATTAAACAATGGTGTTGACGACAACAACAACAACAATAACAGAAATATCATGGGCATCACTGTCAGTTTGAAGAATTGCAACGAGAGCAGTTTTTGCCCCCCAACGCCAGCGTTGCATTAAATCAACGTGGCAGAAAGATTAACCACAAAAACCCTGGACTCAATACAACTTAAAGAATGAGGGTTCAGCATGGTGAGAAGCAGCAAGAATGTGCCGCAGAAGAGAGGTGGCAACATGTTGAGCCAAATGGAAAGACGTAGCAATCGGAGCGCGAGTGTGCGCTGGTAACAATTGCGAGGCAAAACAAAAGTCGCCGCCATGAAAGCGAGCAGACGAGCGCGTGAGCGAAGGGTTAGTCAGGGGCGTGGTAACATGACACCAAAACGAAAAAAAAAACAATAAATACGGATACAAGGAGGACGAACTATGATTAAAAGTTTGTAGCAAAGCAGAAGTGGCAGCATTTACAATAACAACGACAGCAAGAGAGGCAGCAAGAGAAAAGGACTATAGCACATCGTGGCATGCAATCAATGCCAGCCACCTCCGCTGCCCCTTGCAGGCCGACAGGCAAGCACGAAGTAATGAGGCAGTGCCGCAGGCGGTGTAGGGCAGGCATTCATTGTCAGCCGATCACTGTCTTTGAGCATGCGGCATCGCTCGCACGGGAGGGCGGGCTTGTGGCAGTTTTGTGCACATCCATCGCATTTTCTGATGTTGCTATTGTCCTTGCAACCGACTACTAGGGCTGCCGCATGCAAATGACAAGCTGCCCTCACTTGCACTTGCCTTTTCAGTGGCTGTTGTTGTTGTTGCTGTTGCTGGTGTTCCAATTGTTGCAAGTGACGCGTGCGTTTATGTGGCTATGCTGAAAAGATGCAGAGTATGCCAAACGGGGGCTTGATTCTCGACATGAACTGTTTAATCACTGTAATGGGCTGCGCTGTCGGGTTTTAGGTATTTAAGGTCGACTTTGCGAACTAGTTTCGTTGCGTGAGTGACTATATTGCGGAATGATTTATGTCAGTATTTATTTGCATATATGCTTGAATTTCAATGTACAGCAAATTTTTTCATACAATTCTTCGCTGCTTACGACATATGTATGTACATAAAAGCTCGGAATTAAATGAATGTAAGCGAATCCAAATCCGAAATGCCACCAGTGCGCTTGCAAAATTTGGGGTAATCTTGAGCCTAACCGAATATATGTATCTTGAATTTTGGTCATATTTTAGTGAATAAATATTTAAGATATGCATGCCGTTCGATTTCGGTTGATCTCATATCCAAGTTGTATGTGCATGGGAAATTTTTTATAGCAAATTGGCGGCGTGCGTAAATATTAGGTAAGCCTGTTAGTGCGTTTTATTCTACTCACCCGGATCAATGTATTTCAAATTCCGCGCCAAATGTGTCAATTGCAAGGGTATGTAACGCGTATCGGCACGCGGTGTAATTTTCGGCGCTGGCGGAGATGTGGGCGCCCCTGGTCCCAACGGACATAGAAAAGCGCGCTGCAGCTCCCAGCCTACTTCGGAAATTATGCTGGCTTTTCGGAAATACGGTGTCACTTCACGCAGAAATTTTACTAGAAATATATAGAAGAAGATGATGTGAAAATGGAGAGGATTTGAATTAGAAATTCCTGAAAATAACTGAAAATAAATAACTGAGTTCGATATATCGAGATTAATTAATTAAAATATGTTTACGTAAAAATTTGGAGTTTTCTTAAAACTTGGTCTTGAGAACATCTGAGATCAACAATATCTATAGATACACGTTTGACGGCCAATAGCAAAATAAATAATTAAAAATTGTAT